ATAATAGCACCCAACTCAGATTTTTTCTCCGTAGTTGTAATGACAATTCTCTTTGTTGGGTTCATCAACAAGCTAACATAAGGCCTTCCCAATATGCTAGTTATGAAGTTTGGGATTCTATTCCTTGCTTGTTTGTATTCCTTTAATTTATCTTTTCAATGAAGTCCATTCTTAAGTTTTCAAAACCAAAAAAAAAAAAAAAAAAAAAAAAAAAAAAAAAGAAGTTTGGGATTACATATTCACTTGCTTGCTAATTGGCTTGTGTGTTAATTTTTCCTTTTTTAATTTATGCTTATATTACAATGAAAGGTCCAGGTGTCTATAAGTTTTCAAAAAACCCAAAAAAACCACAAACCAAAAATAAATATAAATCAAAATTATAAAAAGAAGTAACTTAAATAAAAATGCCTCTAATTACTCTTTCATAAAAATTCACTTTAGCAACCCCATAAATGTAATCGAACATAATGGCATTTAAAGAAAAAAAAAAAAAAAAAAAAAAAAAAAAAAAAATGCTATTCTCTTCATAAATTGCACTTTGCATATAATGATGGCAATAAGCCATCAGAAGAATATTTAAGATAAAAAATTAAAGAGCAGAAAATATTAGGCTGTGAAGGGGAAAAAAAAAATTTCAGGCATTGCAGTCTTTTTTGGCAATGTTCTTGCTTTCAGTTTCACAGACACAAAGTGAGTGACAAATTTAACGACTTGTAGTTCAGGAACAATAACTTATGTATCAAAATAATTGACAAATGCAGCTTTTTGTCCTAATCTTTATTGCCATATTTAGATATCCCTTTTTGAGGTTGCACTTAAAAAACTTCCCAATTATATTTTTTAACAAAATTTCCAGTATAAGAATCGAACAAGTAAATACCATCATCTTTTGCAGACCAAACACAGTTTCTAAAATTGCACATACGAAAAAACTGAGGCGCCGGCCAAAATACTTTAAACACGCCACCATACCGACGGTCATTATTCCAATTAAAGCTACACCAGAAACGTGTATTTATCCAAATGTTCAAACAAAACTTGAATTGAAGTTCTTGAGATGAAGTTAGCACGTGGTTGCCTAGATCATCATCAAGAGAGAAGCAGCGAAGATCAAGAACTAGATCGTAAGGCAAGTTGTTGATAATGTGCACATGGAATTCTGGAAAAATACAGAAACTAAAACAAGATTGATGATGCATAGCTAATGAGATTAGTGAAAGCAAAAACACCACAGAACTATTAAGAGCTCTACTCATTTTTTCTTTTGAGGTGAATGGAAATTGTTGTCATAATCATACTCCTTCTATACCATATAAAGGATTGGTTTCCATTTTTTTTTTTTTTTTTTTTTGCAGTAGCTAATGAGATTAGTGATAAGCAAAACACCACAGACTATTAAGACTCTCGCATTTTTTCTTTTGAGGTGAATGGAAATGGGAGAGTAGTCACTATAAAAAACTCCAGTCGCACTGCCCCTCTTCCACTAAACCAATGAATAAAGTCAGACGTCTGAGTTTCATCTTATTTTTTTTAATTTTTTTTGTTTACTTTACGTAATAAGGGGTTGGTTTTTCCATTTTTATAATTTGCAAACCATTATTTGTTGTTTGTTTTCTTTTTTGGAAAAAATAGATAATTTATTAGGCTGTCTATTGTGACCCCCTAATTCTTAATGGCGAGATACTACAGAGTTCAAAAAATAAGAAATTAGTGCTTCATACTGCGAAATAGATCGCAATAGGATCCTCTTCAAAATAAAAACAGTCTGCACGTAGCATTAAAGTAGCTAGAACTTAAATCTTGCGAAAAGAACTTCCTATTATATCGCCTCCAACACTTTATTTTATTATCTTGATGTTTAATTATAACCTATAAAATTTTTCAGAATTTTCAAATTAGTTCATACGATCGTTATTTGGGCCATATTTAAGAGTTTTTTTTTTTTTTTTTTTTTGGTAATAGGGTTGGTTTCCATTTTTATTTGCACATTATTGTTGTTTTGTTTTCTTTTTTGGAAATAGATAATTTACTTAGCTGTCTATTGTGACCCCCCTATTTAATGGGATACATACAAAAAAAAAATAGTGCTTCAATGCTCAATAATGAATAATCTTCAAATAAACTAGTGTATATAGACAACTTAATTTGGAAATATTCCTATTACCCAACTTTATTTATTATCTTGATTATTATACTAAAATTTTCAATTTTCAATTAGTTCATAGATCGTTATTGTAAGTCCATATTAGGAAAAAATAAAGAAAGAAATGTAATACAATCATGTTAACTATTTTTCCTTAAACACGCAAGCTAAGACTATACAAATATATTAAATAAGAGTATTTAGGATAAGAGTTATTGGTAGTCTCTATCTTTGGCTTCCCCTTTTCTTTTTTACTTTTTTTCTCTCTGGGAAATTTTGCAATTCTTGAAATCTGTATTTGCATCTCCTTAATTGCTGTCATTTAGTATGCATGACTTTCTCCAACTTAAAAAGACTAGACTTTCTTTTATTTATAGGTAGATTAACTATTTGTACCCAGATTAGGAGATTCATGGAAAGGTTCCTTCTTTTTACAAAAAGATTACGTAAATATTTCCTAATTAGGATTAATTTACATTGCACAAGAGATCACTTGGAAGATAAAATTAGAAGATCAATAGAGTGTTAGCTTTTTAGATGCTCTGGTACGGTTTATTAAAGTTAAAACAAGTTTAAAAACGCTGATACTTATCAAAAATAGAAGCTTCAGCACCAAATTCTTAATTTTAGATAGAACTTGTGATATCACTCGATAGATAAAGCCCTGAAGCCACTCGATAGATTGATAGGAAATTAAAGAGAAAAGAAGAGAAACATGGATACAACTGTAAATAAATTGAATTTGAACCGAGCTCTCGCGAGCTTGAACTTGAGCATGACTCAATAAAAATATGCTCAAGTTCGGAAATTTGAGCTCGAGCTCAACTTGTTTAAGAATAACTAATTGACCTCTAAATTTGGCTCGGCCAGCTCGACTCGATAACTGTAAATAGTCGAGCTCAAAATCTATCAAATCAAAATAATGTTGTTTTAATGTATTTAATTAATTTTGGCTAACTAAGCTAGCTCATGAGCTCAGCTCAATAAAGTTGACTCGCAAGTTGGCTCGTGAACCTGGACTCAATAAAGCTAGTTCACGAACCTAATGAACTGATTCGAACTTGGCTCATTTATCAAACTAACTTAGTAGTTTAATTTGTTTGAACTCGACTCAATAAGCTTATCGAATTAACTCAAACAAATCTTTATTGAGTCTAAGTCTCGAGTAACTAACGAGTTGCTCAACTCATTTATAGCAAAATTCAGTTTATTATTTGGAATCTCCTTACAACTTATTTCTTACATTCTCTTCATGTTTCAAAATGCCTTGCACTAATTAACACCTATATATTGTGATGGATACCACGAATATAGACACCTAACATTAATTAATATTATTGTTAAGATATCATCTTTTAAATAATCATCATCTTCCATATATATAAGCCAGTATAGTAGTATTATTAGGGCCAGGTCCCTCTTGAAGGACCCATATTATTATATTAATTTTGCTGGGTTTAAACATGATAGGAGTAATATTAAGCATTTTGTATTTTCACATTAGCATTTTTCAATCTTCATACTAGTACTAGGCCTATGCCAGAGATAATGTTGAAATTGAAAAAAAAAAATAATATACAATTCGACTTTAATAAAAAAAAAATCATTTATAAAGATACAGAATTATGGATTTTTTTTTTTTTTTTTTTTTTTTTTTTATCTTATTTTTAATACTCTTTTTGTCCACAAATGGTTTCTGGCGTTCTCTAACTCCCTGGGTTTTGAAAACTGGAAGTACAGGAAGTATATATGTAAGGCCATTTTTGTAAATTGTTTCCCAACATTTATGCTTTTTTTACAATCTTCATACCTAGTACTCTGAGGCGCCTATTATGCCAGATATAATCCTTGTACAATATGGGAGGAATAAAAAATAAATTAATGAGTATACATAGTACATAATTCGGACTTTAATAAAAAAAAAAATCATTATAAATAAAGAGTATCAGACAGTTATGGATTTTTTTTATTTTTTTTTTTTTTATTTTTTTATGTGTCAGAAGTTACAGGGGCCTTATGTTGACGCATTAGTGCGTGAATGTAAAGAATGACTGCACATAGGAGATTGATCAGATGTTATTTCTGCTCAGATCAATAGTAGCAAGCTAATATAAGCGTTAAAGGTTGTATATTACTAATATCCCATACCGCGTCATACACAATTTCATCCTCTACTGTCCGCGCGATAATAAGGAATATAAAAATGATTTTGTGTGAAATCATCGCGAAATTACGTGCATCTACATTAATTTGTACCATAGATTGATTGCAAAGTTCTTCTAGAATAATCTAATAATTACATACAATTTAATCAGAAATTTATAACTGCACTTTATCTTAACATCATTAAGGTTTGTGTCCTTTAAATATCAGATTGTTCTTTCCTTGAAAAATACGGTTTAGGAGAATTGCCCTACCCTAAATAAAAATTTTTTCAAAAAAAATAACCCAATTGATGACCACATTATTGCCCCTAAGAATAAAGAAAATGAGAATCCGTTGGAATAACACTCATGAGAAAGAGGAAACCCAACTCACTCAAACGAATCCAGCCGAAAATTTTTTTTTTTTTTTTTTTTTTTTTTTTTGAGAGTTACAGCCTTATGTTGACCAAGTGGTGAATGTAAGAATGCCAAAGGAATTATAGTAGTTGATATACCTAATTAAAGGTTAAAGGTTACTTCAACGTTACAATTCATTTCGCCGTAAGAAATAAATATGTTTGAACTCATCGAATTAGCTTATAATAATTTGCTTAGTTGATATGAATTTTCTAGATAATTAATAATTAATAATTAATAATTATATTTATCAATATTGAGTTTTGGCTTAATATTATTTTCTGAAAATTATGAGATTGCTACTAAAATACAAATTATTTCAAATAAAATGAACATTGATGACACATATTGCCTAGAAAAGAAAATGAGAATCCGTGGATAAACACTCATGAGAATAACAACCACGAATCCGAAATCAGATTAGTCTCGCATCCAAGATAGGGCTAAATCAAGATAATAAGTTTTTCATTGCTAAAGCAAATGATGGATTGGTAATACTAAAACCTCCATCAACAACTAAATTCAGTCCACTCACATACTTGGACTCATCGCTCACCAAATAAACTGCGGCCTCAGCTATATCTTCTGGTTCGCACACAACCCCTTTCAAGTTCGCCACATGAGTAGTAATTGCTTCATTGATCTTTTCATCCTCTATCTCCATTAGTCCCATGGATTTCTTTAGCATTGGCGTTACAACTACAAATGGTGAAACAACATTCACTCTAATCCCATATTGACCCAATTCGACACTCAAGTTCTTGGCCAAACCAACTAAAGCATGTTTTGATACAGCATATGGATGCGGAGCTCCGGCGCTAGTCACCGCAGCAGCGCTCGAAGTAAACAGAATAGAACCCTTTTTCGCCGGAATCATAACCCTGGCGGCGTGTTTGGCTGATAAGAACCCGCCGAAGGTGTTGACATCTAAAACTCTTTTAAAATCTTCATTTTCTGTTCCTAAAATAGTGCTATCAGAAGTCCCTGAAATCGCAGCATTGCTAAACATAATATCGAGCTTTCCATACTTAGATACAGCTAAGTCCACTGCGTTTTTTACGTCGGAATCATTTGTTACATCACAATGGATATAAGAAATTATTTCTTCTAGACCAAGTTCTTTGCAAAGAGAAAGACCAAGATTATCCTGAACATCTGCGATAATGACCTTTGCTCCTTGTTCAACAAATAATCTCGCAGTACTTTCGCCTATTCCACTTGCTCCACCGGTGATCAAAGCTACCTTACCTTGTAGCCTGCAAGAAGAAGAAGAAGAAGAAGAAAGCAGTTAATTAAGAATTAAAAATAGATGAACTTGATTAATATCTGTATTTGATTCTATCACATCGCATGACCTTTTGGTAGATGAGGTTGAAGAAGAAACGTTGTTCATCTTGATATTGGATTAATAAAGGACAGAAAAAGAAATAAACAGGGACGAAGGATTTGAGTTATGCTTCAATATTGATTTGCCCTTGCAAGATTGGGAAATGTGTATGTATATATTACTTATATTGAAAACTATATGTTTGACTACGACAGTTATCAATTAATAAAATTAATTAATAGCAAGTAGAATTCATCTGGAATTAACAAATTAAAAAAATAAATAAATAAAGGATTATGTGAAGTCTTCCGTCGATATTAGAAATTCTCATTGCATATTTTTCCTTTACTACAAGTTATGTGATGCGTACTACCTTTTTAATATTATTATTGCCTTCGTTCCTAAATATTTGTTTCAATTACTTCTAAAAAAAAATAATTGACACGAGAAATTATCATGTTACAAAATATTTTTCATATTTACTCTTTGTATATGCCGAACACTTAATGCTCAATTTTTCGAAAATTTAATGTTTGGATATATTAAATTAAGGGTAATAAAATTAATTTACTCGATAATTTATTGTAATTTAGACAAATTTATTGATTTTCTGAAAAGACGTCAAATTCCAAACGTAACAAATATTTAGGAATAGAGATTGTATATTAGATGAAGTCAATTAAGTATTAATGATTTTGTATATATATGTTTTGAATTTGAATCTATGTTCAAATTAAATATACATTTATTGTTGGATAAATACAATCATTAATAAAAATGTCAAATTTTGATGCCATGTAATAATGGACAACATTTGAAAGGAAAAAAAAATACAATACAGGGAAAAGATAGTCATGGACTCCAAAAATAAAATTAGTCTCATGCTCAAAAAGACTCGAAAAAACTATTTGTTAAGATATTTGAAAAAATTTAGGAGAAGTAAGAGGAGGCTAATTATAATAGTAGAATTAAAAAAAATTAAGACTTTCGTTTATTTCTTGAAAGTTCTTTTACGGAAACATACGAATGTAAAGATATTTGAAAATGAAATTACACACGTCCCATGGTTAATTTCAAATCTATATACTCGAATTGGGCTTTTCTTTTGTGGCATTTGCAATGAATTGATAGTTTTCGAAATTCAATTTTGATGGGTTTTGTTTGTTGTGCAAAAAAGAAACATTTAATACGTTATTTGGTCTAACTGGTCTGCGATATCAGATCCAAAACAACGCATTCAAATTGTTCGATTGACAAAAAGTAAAAGATTAGAATGTAAAAGCTTCGAGAAGAGTTTGACATTGGACTATTCTTCAATTACGAACGTCTTTGACTTAGTCAAGTTCAACCAGCAAGATCAAAGATTTACATGAGACAAGAGAAAAAAGAAAGAAAGAAAAGAAACCGGATCGGAAGCAATTGATAATATAACTAATGTTATCCAAACATTCATCATCATGCCTTGGATTTATCGTCCCCAACTTTAATGATTGGAGTAGTTATCTCATCAAAACGGAATTTATACACTATACTCAACAGAAACATAAAAATCAAAATCAAGTTAGAATTAATATGATCAAGCTAAAAGCAACCTACCATCCATATTTTAAATAGATATATATTACTCTCTTCCTGTTTAAAGTTTTTAGACGGTCATTAAAAAAATAATTAATTCTCTTACATTATAACAAAATCAAGGGTAATTTAACCATATAATCTTTATCTTACATTATTACTCGTATCTAACATCTAGGATAGAAACATGACAAATATTTTAGAGTACTCGTGCCACTCCGATCCGTTTAATAAAAGTACATGTAGTTATAAATGGGCTTGGGATGGATATGAGTATAGTTCAATGGGTACCTGCTACTTGTTACCCGCTATATTAAACGTGTTTGGTCATGGGTACCAACAAATATCCCTACTTATTTATTAGTAAAAAATGTATTTTAAAGGAATAAATGTCAATTTGGTCCCTAAACTTATTTAACAGAATTAAAAGATCAGATTTGACCTTTTGGGCCAATTTAGCTCTAGAACTTGTATAAAATAGTTAAAAAGATTCGATTTCACTTTTTAAGCTAATTTAACCCTTGAACTTGTTTTAATTCTTATAAATTAATAATTGATTTAATTTAATATAATTGATTTTTATCGCTTTTTGTATACACTAAGAACACTCATATTAAACTTTTTCAACACTTCTGAATATCAATTTAAAATCCATAAAAACATCATTTCTTGTAATATAATAAATTTATAAACATGCATCATAACTTTGATTTATTCAACATGAAAATGCATAAGTTTCATAAGCGATAACCTAATAATAGAGGTTAATTTTAAAATGTTTAAAATCAATACATATTTATAAACTCAAAATCATCAATCAAGGTAAAGAGAGATACAATATATTTCATATATCATTTTTCTATATTTTATAATTAATTAATATAACTCAAAATCAATTCAATTAAGGGTACAAGAGAGGATTACAATATATTTCATATATCATTTTCTATATTTTCTATAATACATGCTAATTTTGTCAATAAATAGTCATGTTCTCGATCCCAACTAGAGATACAATATATTTCATATATCATTTTTCTATATTTTATAATTAATTAATTTTTCAATAAATTAGTCAGCTCGATCCCAACTACAGTTTTAGTAAATGTCTAAATAATGATATTCACATTATAAGTACAATAAAAAATTAGAGCTTCAATTAACTCAAATATCAAATATGATTTTTTAATCATTTTAAATAACTTCAGGGGTTAAATTGACCTAAAAAGTAAAATCGGTTCTTTTTAATCATTTTATACAAGTTCAATAGCTAAATTGGCTCAAAAGGTCAAATCTAACTTTTTTTTTTATCTTATTAAATAAGTTCAGAGATAAAATTGAACTTTATTCCTATTTTCAAGAAGCTCGAATTTGAATAGTTTAAAATTTGCAAATAATATATCTGTTGAAGTGGTACTTTAAACGAGTTTAAGACGGATACGGATAGTAAAATTTTAAACAAGTTCGGATACGGATATTTAAACGGATTTGGGACGGATACGGATAGTTAAACTTTAAACAAGTTCAGATATGGGTACTTAAATTGATTTAGGACGAGTGCAGATAGAAAAATTTTGAACAAATACGGGTACGGGTAACTTAAAATTCATGGATACCCGCTCGGCTTTCATCTCTGTTCACATCATTATATTGTATCTAATATAAATAAATGTAAAATTCGAAAATGATCATTTATTACTCCTTAAAACACTCAAAATTATTTATATTTTAAAACAAAATTATTATCCTAAAACAACTTATATTTTGAGATGGAAGAAGTAACATGTTCCGTTAATTAATTCAAATATATAACGGAATAGATTAGATTTTTCCTTTGATAATTGAAAGTCCATTTTTTTTTTTTTTTTTTGGGGTCTAAAATGGCTCAAAATATTTTCTCTATAAAAATATAATGAGAGAGAGAGAGTAAAGGTAAAATTATACAATAAAACTTGTTTTTACATATGGCATGAGATGGTTCCACAGGGCAAAAGCGTTATATAATTCTTTTTTCTCTGTTTGTCTTATAGTCTAGGCCCATGATCAACTCCTATATGATCTAATGGGTCTACCTTTACTTCAGAAAATATAACAATCGAGCACTTTCAGGCTTTGGGCTAATATCTCAAACAAATAGGCCCAACACAACTCAATTAGGGCCTCATTTTCCTTAATTCAGATAAATACCCATATTACAAATGGACCATATTAGACTCTCCCATATATAAACAAAAACCCTAACCCTAACCCTAACTGCCTGCATCTCAATCTTCGTCTGCATCTCTTTGCACGCCCACTCACACACCCGAACCCACACGCAGAAATCCTCTCTGATTCAGGAAAATGGGTCGCGTCCGTACGAAGACAGTGAAGAAATCCTCTCGCCAAGTGATAGAGCGCTACTACTCGCGCATGACTCTTGATTTTCACACCAACAAGAAGATTCTTGAAGAGGTCGCCATCATCCCTTCAAAGCGTCTCCGCAACAAGATTGCGGGGTTTTCTACCCATCTCATGAAACGGATCCAAAAGGGTCCGGTTCGCGGGATCTCACTCAAGCTTCAAGAGGAAGAGCGCGAGCGCCGCATGGACTTTGTACCTGATGTCTCTGCCATCAAGACTGATCAGATTGAGGTCGATAAGGAGACTATTGACATGCTTGCTGCTTTGGGCATGAGTGATATTCCTGGGATTCTCCAAGTCGAACCGGCTGCTGCGCCTGCGACCCAGTTCGTGTTTGGGAGAGGTGGTGCTGGTGGCAGACCTGGTGGAAGGTTTTAAAAACTTTTTAGGAAAGTCTTGTTTTTATTTCGTTATATGTTGTGTTTCTCGACTATGGATGCTTAATTGTGACTTTAGTTAAAAATGCTTCTTTGGAGAAATTTTTGCGTTATCATTGGTGAGTATTATCGATTTTTAAAATATTTGGTCACATTTTGTTCTATACTAATTTTTTATTGGGATGGATGTTTCTTATTTATACTTGCTATTGGTTAACCAGTGTGATTAGTTTGTCAGCAGAATAACTGATGAGAATACACCTTAGTTTTAGTTTATTGGTTTACATAGTTTGGTGATGAAAATCATGTTTTGTGTTTTAGTGTATGCTTACTGTTTGCTTGTGATAGAATATAGTCTTTTGGGTCGAATAATTCCTAGTTGGGGATAGAATAGTCATGGGAATAACCATTATTTACATTCAGGTTTACAATGGCTTCTGTGTTTCAGTTTTTGTTCTTTTTGTTGAATAGTTGAATGGTGGATGAGATCATCTTCTTTAACGGAATACTTTAGGCCAAGCTTGTTTGGTATTCAATAATAGAATTTAATGTAATTTAATTAAATGCATCTACATTCTATTATGCTTGAGTGTTTTATATGGATTATTTTCTGGATAGCTTTTTAAGTAGTGAATGATTTCCAGTTGCTATTGCACTTTCAATGCCCAAAGCTCCTTTTTGAAATTACTTTGAATGTGTTTGAAGGAAATAGTAATGTAAATTGATCAACGATGTGATGGAGGGTTTTAAAGATTTAACCAGTGAGCAAGTTTAGTCATTGGATTAAAGTCATCAGGTTTAGTCTTGTTATGCAGAGCAACAAGTCACTGGGACAAGTATAAGCAATTTTTTTAATGAAAAAAAGGTTTGATAAGAAAATATGGTACCAAGTTCTCAGCCAAAACAAAGATAAATGTTACTCATTCAATCCATAAGTATAAGTCGATTTGTTGAATTCATGAGAAACAAAGCTTAAAAAATAAAAGATTAGTTATTTAATTAGTTGAATTCAATTGAAAAAATGCGCTAAATTCAAAATGTCTCTTTGAAATGCTAAAGTGTTTTATGTTACCCGAAATTAATAGAGATAGAATTGACTTGGCAAAAAAAAAACCGATTAAAAATAACTCAAAAACTATTGTCGAATTGAACTTAAATTCATTAAAATTATTAATATAAGAGTAATTTAATTAAATTAATGAACTTTTTATTATAAATTAGATGAATTTTTTATTCTCTTAATCATAGTGTAAAAACCTTAAAGATTTATATTCACACGGACCGAGGGAATATTTGACAGGAAACATCTAGTTTCGAGTGCTGGAAAGGCAATTACATAAAAAGAGGCTGTTAAAACCTATCTAAACAAATAGCCACAACAAATTCAATCCCGTAATGTCAATCATGCAAGACTATTACTCAAATACATACGATAAATTCAACCACATATAATGTCAATCATGCAAGATTTTTATACTGAAATATAGACAAAACATCTTATCACATTTCATGTATGATGCACTTGGGTACCACGTACAAGTCAACAAGATCAACTTACAACAGTTGATTTCTTTGGGATTGCAAACAACTACATACAGCTGAAAAGCTCACCAGATTTATTCGCTTGAATTTGCAAGCCCTACCATGTTGAGCATGTGGCGATCCTCCTTGAACCTCTCCAACACTGTACCTTTCAGGGCATCCTGCTTTTCTTGCTGTATTCCTTTTTGAACAACTCCCCAGCATTCTATAACTTCTGGAATTATATGACTGGTCTTTGACAATGGTGGGCTGCCAAATGTGGTGCAAGTAAAGGTGTGTCCCAAATCAAAACTTGCCGAAAGGAAGAGGCCGAAGTGATTTACACGTCCACCAAAACCAATGCCATTTGGTATGCTTTCTGAAGAAAAATTCACAGCACACTGGGCAGAAAAAATGCAATGTTAATTTCTCAATACAAAATAGCTTGCTTCGAACTACAAGAGACATAAATCAGGTCTTCACCTCCAATATATGCATAAAAGCATGAAACAATATAAAATACCACTAAAAAGTCAAAACACAATTCAATTCGCAAGCATTTGTCATATTCAAACTTGGGTCAATGGAATGTTTAAAATACTATCATCCAATTTAACTTCACTCGATCACTGTTAAAATTTTAGGTAAATTTGTTTACTAGTCTTAAATTGAAACTTGAATAACTCTAATAAAGCTCAAGATTAGTATTTTCTTTATTCATAACTAAGGCAAACAGCAAGAATCAAATATTATTATTTAAATATTTTATATTCAAATATATTCAAATTAAATATAACAATTAAAATATTCGGTTAGGCTCACCACTTGAGTTAGATCTTGCCAATATTTTAATCAAGTTCAAATATTTTGCAAGCTGCATTTTAGTAGGACTAAGAGTAATTTTACTTATTCATATCTAGGGGCACGAGGCAAGGCAAGCCTAGTTTTGCTAGCTTAAGCTTGACTCATTAATAAACAAGCTGAATTAAACTGAATATCGTCAAGCTTGTTTAAAGCTCACGAATCTAAACAAGCTTAATCAAGTTAAAACTTTTCTAATCACTTTACATATGAATTTGATAATTCATAAATTTATTCAAGAACTAAAACATCTTACCTTTTTTTTTTTTTTTTTTTACAATAATGTGTAAACTTTAATTATTATACTACTGAAAATTACAATTTGGCAAACAATTTTTAAAAAGTATATTTATGCATAAAATAACATAAATACAAATACATAATCTTATATATATGATTAAATTAACACACGCGTATAAAGAAACTGAGCTTTTCTTAGCTCAAGTTTGGTTCATTTATTAAACAAGCTTAAAAATACAAGCTCAGGCAAGCTTTTATTGAGCAGAGCTCCGATCAGCTCAGAATCAGGTCAGCTCATTTGTAGCCCTATTTCTACCCCTACTTATCTCAAGTTTGAGATCCATATTACTCCATTTCCAAAGTAACCAAGTCAAGGATCAAATAATGTTCAAACTTGATAGCACTTAATGATCAAACATTTAACAAATTTTAAGTGATCAAACTTCAAACAATATTTCATTATCAATTGCTGAAGGAAAATCAAGATGGTTAGATTTAGGATCACTCGAAAAAAAAAAAAAAAAACTAATATTGAAGCCCAAGAAAGGGGAAACTAATACTTCAAAATTTGCATCCTCTCCAGCACCCCCTAAGCCCTGTCCCACCAAAAAAATGTAGTATAAAAAAAACATAGTATCTACATGATTATGCTTTTAGTGTACATAAGGACTTCGAGTCAAAATATTTTCTGGTTTCTGACATAAAGTCCTTTATATTGTGGAAGATACATTCTCAACTCTCAAAAGCAGATCCTAGGTAACATAAATATTGCTAGCATGGGCACTAACCCACATAAATCGTTTTCTTTTTTCTTTTGTGTTAGTATTTTGTTCTTGTAAACCCAAATATGGAACAGTCACAACCAGAGAACTCAAAGACACATATGAATGTAAACATACCCATTGAACATTGTTGTTTGCTCCAGTAGGCTTGAAAATTGAAGCCTTAGGGTATAGCTGAAAGAGAAAAGACTTCATGTCACCATAGAAATCACCGTGCCTGTCCCAAGGCTGAGAAGCATAACCTCCATTTATGCAGTCTTCTTTATCCTTAATAATCAGAACAGTTGGCCCTTCACCATTTCTGCAGTTCAATTAAAAAATTATCCAATCCACTTCTATGTAGAAAACAGTTCCACCAACTGAGAAACTGAAATAAAATTAGGAAATATTTTAAATGCTAAGTTTCTATGTTTAAAAAAGGAACTCAAAGATAAAAGACACATGAACATCATCAGTGAATAAATATTAGAGTAGTTTCCAGAGCATGTACTTACTAATTGCATATACTTCGGATAAAACAAAGGATGGGAATAAGGAATGGAGTACGGAATGTAATGGAATGGAATGGGGAATAGGATTTTTATTCATGTGTTTAGTGTACAACACCGAATAGAAAGGAATAGATGGGAAATTAGTTAAAGACTAAAATACCCTTTATTTTATTAAACGAAATAGAGAAATGGAATACCCAAATGATAAAAGATAGGGGCAAATATGGTGTTCAAAAATGTAGTCATATGGAATTGGGATTCAAAGGGAGTGGCTAAGAACCCCAATTCCTTAACTTATTCCAAAATCCATTACCAATTCCAAGCCTTAATTGCCACTGAACAAGGAATTTGGGAATAGAAATTCCACTCCCATTCCTATTCAGTGCACTAAACATGACCTAAGTACATTATGTAAAGATATTTTGTCATGTACAGCCTCTTAGAATACTAGCTATATCAATTGCATTGAGCACATGTTATGTAGTCTCAGAGATCAGAATGCATTTAAAAGCCATGATTATTAACATGAACTATGATGAAACATATAGAATCTTGAACATCATTTGCAATATCAGATCCAGATATCCCATCACTTATGAAGAGCCTAACTAATAAATATTACAATATCAGCATTGACACAAAAGAAGAATCCCAGTTATTGAGATCAGACCAAGTTCAACCAACAGACATGGAATATGCTGTATGGAATTTAAATTTCATTTCAAAAGAAAAGCATCCCCACATGGAATCTAAGCTAAACAGCCTGCCAAGGATGCATCTCAGATATTTATACCCATCTTTCTAAGATGCAATTAATGAAGCTCAGAAAGCTAAATTTAAATCCGAAGTGGATGAACTTGCAGATATAGAAGCATATTTTGTCTCAGGGGATTAATGAGCAAACAGTCGAATGAGGGATTAATGAGCAAACAGTCGAATGGATTCACATAGATAAGATTATTGTATTGAAAGAAACAAACCACTTACGATACACTGCCCAGGAATGTGTTGAAACTTAGGCCATTAACAGCACTATGGTACAAAAGTTTCCACTGCTCCAACTCATGCTGAGAAAGAGCTCCTCCTATATGCCAAGCATATTCCTTCTTCAATAGTATCAAATTAGGATCAATATTTTCTCCATGCACCAAGTGAGGAACTTCAGAACCAGGCCTTCCTGCAAACCAGTTACAGTTAAAAAATTTGAAGAATCAAATGCAACTCATTATTTAAGAATCAATCACACCTCATTTTATACTTTTCATTCACTTGACTAAATTATGATCACCAAAGTACTTCATTTATCAGGTCTGCAAATGGAAATGGTAATGTAAATTTCACCCAGGGACAAGTGATACATATCATCATTGTGAACAATATTTCTAGGCATTCCAAGTATTCACATAAACCACGGTTTTGCTACTAGAACTCTATGTTTTGCAATTATAAAGTTCTACACTGACAACCTTTCATTACCCAAAAATATGACACATTTCGCCAAATGAAATGATGCTTTTAATTCCTAACGAATCTAAACCAAATTTAGAGATACCAAGATAATTTTATGAAGGACTTCCATAAGCCCCTATGTTAAAGGAAAACAATCACACCATGAAGTATAACTAAAGATCACTAAGTCATTGATATAAAGCCAATCATTAAAAAGGACTTGAAAATGCAAGGTGATTAGACAAATGGAGAAAGATGGATAACCTGCTTCAGGTGGAATCAACAAACTTCCCAGGAACTTCCTAACTGATGGGAGAAGACCAGACCAAACTCTGAAATCCTCAAAAGACATACTTTTCTCTGCAGATCCTTGAACATCATTCGAAAAAGTTGCAGCATTAAGAAATACATTAGCAACATCATGACACAAACTTGAACCATCTTCATTAACTTTCAGGGAAAAAACACTCTTCAAAACCGCAATTAGAACAGACTCTATATCAGACCTGACAACAAATTTCCAAATGTTATACACATCAACACAACTAAACAAACAATACAGCGAAAAGAATCTACTTTACACAAGAAGTAAAATCATAAAACTCAACCGTCAAATTAGTAGCGAAAGCAATTCATAGCAGGCTTATGCTCTATACCTTGCAAATAGGGCTAGTCAAAATAAACATTATAATACCTTCCCAAAACACTATCATCTGTTACATCCAGTAATTGAAAAATAAACTCATCAATCTCATCTTTTGTTCCTTTCTCATAAATGCTCTGCACATGGATAAATAAATAACAAAGTTAAGTACTTATACAATTACAAATCAGAAGCGGTCAAATTTGAATTCTTACCTTAGCAATCACAAGGTCCTCGAAGGTAAGTTTCCCATCTTTTCGTTTCTGGGTAACTAAATCGAACAATCTCTCTCCTAGAGGACCTTTCAATTCAAAAAATGCCTAAACTAACAAAAACACCTATTAGTATCCACAACTGCAAAAGATTGATTATTTATCAAATTGGTAGCCAGAACTTAATACAGAGAAGAAGAAATCAATTGACCTGAAAAACAGGGAGGGATACATATTGACCATTACTCTCTGATTTGGTGGCCAGAGAAACGAATAGTGATTTGAGGTCATCCAGTTCATGTGGAGTAAAAGCTCTGTAGTCAAACTAAAATTGCTCACCTATAAGCATATGTGTGCGGAAAGAGAAAGAGAGATTCTTTTAGCGAGAGAAACCTGGTGGCAGAAGCGAAGCGAGGATTCGCCGCGGGCGACTGAGCATTTCCCATTTCCGATTTCTTTCCGGTCACTAAAACATTATTTTCACTTCTTACTACATATATATGATTAGCTTTGGCTTTTAAATAGACGACCTCGTACTTTACCATAATTTCACACGGACCCCATACCGACTGCTTATTGTTCATTCATGTACGTATATTTCGTAGCTACATATAATTTATTGATAATAAAAAAAATAATTGCATAAATTGTTATCCCGAATACACTCTCCATTCACTTTTATATTTCGATTTAAAATTTTTATATAATAATAAAAAAATAATTAAATCACTCAAATTATAATAAAATATTAAATTACTCTTTATCTCATTTAATTAATTCAATCTCAATTTTATCCATTATTCTAATAGAGATAAAAGTGAAATAGAAAAAGAATTAATTTTCTCAAAGTGACATATAATTTTATTATTGATTATAATTGGTTTCATCATGTTGTTAATTAGGGAAAAATAATAATTTTTAATTCAAAAATCTAAGGCATCGCTATTTTTAAGCATGACTTAATTATCCTCATTAATATTGACAAATATTATTAAGTTAAAATTTGTATTCAACTTAAAAAATCTAAATGTAAATTGTGAAAAATCATCATATTCTCCATATTAGATTTAATTATATTTTGGAATTTCCATTATCATTTTTATATATAGTTTTCTCCAATCTCATTAAAATTTTATATCCATATACAATTATTGAACTAAGTTTTATCAATGAATTAAATATTAATATATTTTAAGTCCAATAAGCCAAATTATTAATTCAGCTATTTTGTAATTAATATACATTGATTCCATTTTTGAGAAATATAAATTTATTTCTAATTTCTATATTTTAATTTTTTTCTATTTAATTTTACATTCTATATATGTTCACTTGATATTAATTAAATTTATAAGTTTTTAAAATTTCTATAAAAATATTTCTATAATTGTTTTCAGTTTGGATTACTCATATTAAAACAAAAAATTATATAGCATTCCTAAATATTTTTATTTAGTAGTGATTCATTTTTATATTGCAATTAGATTTTTGTTTTATCAAAAAAAATATATTTTTAATAATTTTAATGTATAGTATATGATAATTATATTTGATATTTAAATTCATTAAAACGTATTAGTATGAGAAGTAAATACACTTGCATATCATTAAAACAGGGAGAGGGAGAGGAAAAGTTCGAATAATTTCTAAACTCATCCTTGTTGTCCTTCTGTTAAACGGACTGGGATTTCCCTGAGAAACCAGAACATGTACGAGTTCACAAATAAGATGGGACCAAATTATAGGGTGAAAATTATTTAAAAAAAGAAGAGTAGGGAGTTATCACAATTTTTACAAAATTGAGGTCATAAATGCAATTGTCAAAAACAAAAAACGAAAAACAAAAATGCATCGCCGCGTGAAGTGAAATCATTAGGACAGTTGAAAGAGATTTCTTCTTCGAAGTGACTGAAAGTCAGACGCGACATGCCGCTCTTAGTAAACTCTGATCTGTGAGTTCTATTAATCAAAATGTTATTTTGTTCTTAAGTCTACAAAACTGAAATCTATATTTGTTAGTAGTTATTTATTTATCCATTTTGTAATGAGCAGATCATGTGAAAGCTGAAATCTTTAATGATGTCGAGACCGTGGGTGCTGGTTTTTCTGCTGTTATTAATTGTTTTTACATCTCAGTTTGAATGGAAACAACAAATTGGGAACGAAATTGAAGCGAGTCCAACTATTTCTAGGAAGGAGCAATTTAATTCGAAACGAGAAGATTCTGTAAAAGAAAAGGTTAGAATAGATTTTCTTTTTGTTCAATTTGCAATTGCTCAATTTAGAACTTGTGTGTGCAAATATCAGTGATAAATCAACTAATTCCTTACTGGGTTTAGCTTATAATTAGTTTTTAGGCACTTTGTAACCACCCACATTTAGAAAGTTAGATGTATTGTGAATAATTGATTGATAGTAGCTGTTACTGTTGGGAATTTGAGCACTTGGCATCAACTGCTCATGGAATTATATAATTGTGCTTTTTGTTGTTTTTGCTTTCTTGTGGAGAAGAGAATATATTGAGGACAACAGAAATTAGAAGGGAAAAAAAAAAAAAAAAAAAAAAAAAAAAAAAAAAAAAAAAAAAAAAAAAAAAAAAAAAAAAAAAAAAAAAAAAAAAAAAAAAAAAAAAAAAAAAAAAAAAAAGAAAAAGAAAAAGAAAAGATAAGATATGGTGCTCCAGAAGATATACAGTGTGATAATAATACATGAGGTAGTGATACTCCTGACGAAGTAATAAAAGCAGAAACCTAAAACGTAATTTCCCCAAACCAGTTTGTAATCCTCTTTTCTCAACCATTTTAGTGCATTCATCTACGTTGAATGAACTAACTTCTTCCTTATAAATAGCTCCTTCAAAATCATTCTTATGGCCTCTCCTACTAGTTTGCTCCTTGGAAATACCTATGTCTTTCTTGAATCTAATTATCAATCTCCTATAAAATTACCTTTCTTTTCCACATAATTCACCATAAACTTCTATTCATTGCTTGTACTCTCCTTGAGAGAATTCAATGTATATTGATAGACTGAAATGTAAAATGCACCCAAATCAGCAGCCCTGTAACTCACTTTTTGTTATCTTGTTATGCTGGACCTTGCCTATTCATGTACTATAGCAAATTGTGCATGTAGATCTGAATAATCTTGTCCCCGCTCAACCTTCAATGCTCAAATATTCAACAAAATGATAATGTTGCCTTTTGCTTTTCTGTTTTCTGGCCCTCTACTGATCTAGCCTGACATTTCCACTATGCTGATTGGTTAATTTGAAAGACAAACTTGATTAGTTTTTCATTGATCTTGTCTACTCAAAAACTAGGCCTGCTGGAGAACTGGTTGTTTTATATCAATCCATTAGTTATTAGGCTACCCAATTTTTGTTGCATGAAATGCTTCAAATCTAGAGAGGGAGAGGGGGGGGGGTGGTTTGGGGGAAGAAGAGTTGTTAATTTCCGAACAGGATGTCCATAGATTTCAGTATCCCTAATAAGTATCCCTCAGCAGGGATTATCTATCATATATACTGATGCAGGAGCAATCCTAGTCCTAATTGGATTCCCAGCACAACTAGGATTTTATTTAATTTACTGTTTTATTTCAGATTTGCATTAGTTTTCCATTTCCTTATTTGATTAGGATTTACTATTTTATCATTAAAGAGTTTTAATTCTTGTCTTTAATTAGGATTCCTAGTCTTAGTTCGGTTTTATCATATCAATCAGACAGCACTAGTAGCATGTAAATCATTTATTTCCTCATAATTTTAATTCAAAGTATAAACTAATTACTGATTACTGTCCACCTACAATCACCCTTATTCTAAACTTACTTTGTGAAAACTGATAGCCTAACTCCTGCATCAACTGGTATAGAGCAAAAAAACAAATCGTAGGATTTTTTTGTTTGATTAAACCCATGGTGGAAAGAGGCCGGAGGCGGAGGCCGGAGGCAGAGGCAGAGGCCAATCAGTCCCAACAAAGATGAAATAGCTGAGATAGGGCGAATGATTGAAAGGGATTTGACCTGGAGTGTACACGCTCACAGCGTCAGGAAACCCGTGGAAGCCCGAAAATGGGAGACTCTGGAAGGCAACCACCAAAAACGTTGTTTTCCCAAGAAGCTTTCTTGAGAGTGAACAAGGAAGTCGAGGGAGTAAACCCCTTTCCATGAAGCTGGACCCTGCAACCCAGCATCAAACGAGGCTGATTGGAAAGCGTTTACTTCATGCTCTTGATTTAAGATAGTGGAAGGAGTTTAAAATTGAAGTTGGGTGATTGTCATGGAAATGCATGGGCCGAAGCTATTTAACTTGGGACTATGTTTAGAAAATTATTTTCGACGGAAACAATAGGTTCAAACTCGAAGTGTTTTGGAAGCTAATTAAAGAGTATGTACTTTCAATGGTGGAAGAGAGGTGAGAGCACGGTGCGACAAGGGAAAGCAAAATCAGCACGTGGGACACATGAAAACTAAGCTAAGGAACATTTTTAGCAGCTGATTACGCAAATGGAACTATATGAAAGGTTCCACTGCATGAAACAAAATAAGCATTGTCTGTTGGACAAGAGACACTGGGCAGATTTAACATCTCTGGTCATTCGAGTTGGAATATTTGAAAGTAATGAACATTACCTCTCGCTACTTGCTGGTTTGAATAGTCCTTAGGAAATGAAATGGCATAGTCCGATTACACAACTTGAAGATGCTTCGCCAATATGCCTTAGCAGCTCGAAGGCGAGTTTCGTTACGGTGCTAGAAGCCCATACAGAAGAATTGGGCAAAACAATTTCGGAGCTGCAAGAGGGATTCAAACAACTCAACGAAGCGGGAAAGAGGCTGCCGGATACCTAATAAATACAAATGAAGAGACAACCATGTTGAGGGAACGATAAAAGGGAAAGGTATAGTACTTATGGGTGGACAAAACAATTCTGGTTCGTCTACAAGGAGAGGCAACAATTCTCAAGTTCGTTGTTTTACTTGTGGAGAAAAGGGACATACTTCATTCATCTGTCTACAATGGAGGGTAAATTTAGCCGAGTATGATGGAGACCTAGGCCCTATTTTTGATGAATATGATGAAGAAGTAGAAGAAATTGATGTTCACCCAGCTCAAGGTGAGTCTTTAGTTGTTCGAGCAGTCATGACAGCCATGAACAAAGAAGGACAACAAGATTGGAGGAGGCGTAGCATTTTCCATACACGTGTTATTTATGAAGGCAAAGTGTGTAATTTAGTCATTGATGGAGGAAGTATGGAAAATATAATGTCAAAGGAGGCTGTAGAAAAATTAAAGCTTCCTACAACAAAACATCTCCTCACCATACAAAAGTAGGTTGGTTTCGAAGAAGGGGCATGAGATACCAGTCAACATCCTCAATGCTTAGTGCCATTCAATGGGAGATGCACTTGGCAGATGAAGCACTATGTGAGTAGTACCAATGGATGGTTGGGCATTTCTAGTGGGACGACTTGGTTGTATGATCATGATATGGAACCAAGACGGCCTAACTTACTCGTTCCTACAGACGGACAACAAAGAAGTACACTTTGCATCCTCTCAAGGAATTAAACAAGAAATAACAAATAAGAAGCTGCAACTAGTAAAATTAAATGGGCTTGTAGTGTTAAAGAATCTCGCGCACGGCCCCCATAGTGAGGGGTGGGAGTCACGTATCGCCTATAGTGAGCACTATGCCTTAGTGAGCAAACTGATAGGAGCTGACCAGGTTGAAAAATCAGTTGAATCTTCCTTTGAAATTCAACGATTATTGCAGGAATTTAAGGAGTTGATTAGTGAAGATGTATCGAAAAGCTTGCCACCGTTAAGAAGCATCCAACATGCTATTGATTTGGTACCAGGAGCAGCTTTACCAAATCTGCCTGCTTACTGAATGCCTCCTTAATAGCGGGCTGAAATAGAAAGACAGGTTAAAGAATTATTGGAAAAAGGTCTGGAGCGTGAAAGTAAAAGTTCATGTGCCTGCCCAGCCTTATTAACACCAAAGAAAGACGGTTCTTGGAGAATGTGTGTGGAGTGCTATAAATAAGATTACAATCAAATATCGCTTTCCAATACCAAGATTGGAGGATATGCTTGATCAACTAGCGGGTTCTAAAGTGTTTTCCAAAATTAGAATGAGGCATGGTGATGAATGGAAAACAGCTTTTTAAGACACTGGATGGGCTATTTGAATGCCGCACCGAGGAAGATCATTTAAAACACTTGCGACAAGTGTTAGAAATACTTCGTTAAGAGCTGCTGCCCATAAACCTGAAAAAATGCAGTTTCCTGCAACCAGAAGTGGTATTCCTGGGATACATTGTGTCTGCAGAAGGATTGAAACCAAATCCAGAAAAGGTTCGTGCAATTACCGAATGGCCAGCACCACAATCCATCAAAGAAGTTAGAAGTTAGCACCACAATCCATCAAAGAAGTTAGAAGTTTTCATGGTTTGGCCTCTTTCTATAGGAGATTTGTCCAAAATTTCAGTTCAATTATGAGTCCTATAATTGAATCTATGAAATAAGAAAAGTTTGAGTGGACAAATTCTGCACAAAAAGCATTTGAAAGAATCAAGTTTTTGATGACTAGAGCACCTGTTTTTGCACTTCCAAATTTTGAGAAATTATTTATTGTCGAATGTGATGCTTCACATGAAGGGATTGGAGCTGTTCTTAGCCAAGAGGGCAGACCTCTTGAGTTTTTTAGTAAGAAGTTGTCTGGAACTAAGAAGCTTTACTCAACTTATGATCGTTCTATGCCTTGGTATGAGCTATTCGACATTGGCAGCATTACTTAGCTTATCGTGAGTTTGTGGTTTTTTCTGATCATCAGGCCTTGAGGTATCTAAAATTTCTGAATAAACTCAACAATCGACATGCTAAGTGGAGTTCTTTCCTTGATGAATTTAATTTCTCGCTAAAGTATAAATCCGGTCAATCTAGTATTGTGGCTGATGCATTGAGCAGAAGATCCCTAATTTTGTCAATTTTGAGCACTCAAATTACTAGTTTTGAAGAACTGAAAAACTTAATATAATTCAGATTCATGTTTTGGCAAAATATTCAGATTCATGTTTTGGCAAAATAAAGGTTAATTTGTTGCATTCTTCAGAAGCTGAAAGTCTGCCATACCGATTGCAAGATGGTTATTCATTCAAAGGGAATAAGTTACGCATTCCTGAAGGATCTTTAAGGTTTACTCGTCGGAGCCGAGTCTTTTTCAAACCTGGGGAGAATGATGCAGTAGCAATCCTAGTCCTAATTGGATTCCCAGCACAATTAGGATTTTATTTAATTTACTGTTTTATTTCAAATTTACATTAGTTTTCCGTTTTCTTATTTGATTAGGATTTACTATTTTATCATTGAATAGGAGTAGAGTTTTAATTCTTTCTTTAATTAGGATTCCTAGTCTAGTTAGGATTCCTAGTCCCTAGTTAAGGAATTTTATCACTATATTTAATTAGGATTCCTAGTCTAGTTAGGATTTATCACTATAAATAGATAGCACTAGTAGCATTGTAAATCATCTTATTTTCCTCATAATTTTAATTCAAAGGCTACAAACCTAATTACTGATTACTGTTCCACCTACAATCAACCCTATTCTGGCTTACTTGTTGAAAACTGATAGCCCTACATCTTCCCCTGCATCATATACACTAGTTTACATTGTAAATCAGTAACTTTAATATTTTATATCTTCTTGAGATTTCCTTTTTTTCCCTTTTATGATGCATGTGAGTCATTGATGAAATGCATGCTTGGCACCAAAGTATTCTCACTTGAAAATTTAGCCCAGTTTTTCCTTATATGTTTGTATTGCCAAACATTACTCTAATGCTTCAGAGAGTTGGCATAATCTGTTATTTGGTGCGTGTAACTTTCTCTATTTTTTCTCTTTTTGTGGGACAGAATGGTATTTTCTTAACCTAGGTTGTCCAATCATTTATCACGATTTATAATCTTTTGTTCATGGCTATTGCTGCAGATCATCCTCTCTCAAGAAAAGGATATTCAGAAACTTAATGAGCTTGTCCGGAGCCTTCGGGAGCAGTTAGTACAGTGCAAAAGTGAAAATTATTCTGCCAATGGCACGGCAATCCCTTTGACTGAACATTTGAACGAGCTTGAGCAGCAACCAATCTTGGAGGTCTAGACATGGATACTTACTTTTGACATCAATTTTTGTTATGTGCAAATATGTGAACCTTGTCTTGTTTTCTCAGCAAAACCGACTATGAGATTAATTATGTATTTCAGTTTTCTTATATACCAAACTGTAATCCAATTCCCATTGTATGTAGCAATAGTCAGTCCCAAATGATTCAGTGGAAATCTTTTTGAAACAGGTGAGTAGGTATGTAATGCTTTGAAGTAAAAAATTTGAAGTACCACTACCACTTTAAAGGAAGTTTTTAGTTAGGTACATAAAAGTAAAAGATTATAGCATTGTAGTGTTGCAAATAAGTCTTAGTTGTGCTAACTGGAGTGTATATCTATGATGGTCATTGTAAAAATTTCAAATTCTAATTTGATAGAATCTAATTGCATTTGTGATATAAACTCTGCTTTGCTTATCTCAAGCAACTAGAATTAGAGATTATAATTTTTCAATCTATTTGGCAATAATTTCAAATCTATTTGGTTTCTTTAGAAATATGCTCTCAAATTTTCATTGCCAAATACCAGCATGCTATTTTTTCCTGAACTGGTCTATAAAACCTGTTGGATTCAGGGTTAGAGGGGGCAAATTCTTGAATATGTGAGTTAGGGGGTGGCCGAAGTGATGAAGGTGTGCTACATTTTGCTGAACAGCCAGGGTTCAACCGCAGTCCAAAGTAAGCTATTTTTTGAAATTTTTTTTTGGGGGGGGGGGGGGGGGGGGGGATTGCCACCCTGTTCTCTTTTTTTTGGGGGGGGGGGGGGGATTGCCCACCCTCTCATCAAGGTAGCTTCGCCACTGGTTGGATTGGTTTTGGTAAAGTTAATATGATTCTTCACTTTACCTTAAAATAATTGTGTTGGATGAGTATGCTTAAACATGAATATGTGATATTAACAGTTTAAATTAGTTGGAAAACTGTGAAAATTAGGAATATCTCGCCACTTTTATGTGATATGTGAGGGACATAACATTTCTTGTTGGGCTTATGCAGTTGATTGCGTATAGGATTGCAACCAGTCTTTATATTCCTTATTCCTTATTTATTTATTTTGACTGTTCTTTGAATTTTTCAGTGAATAGACCTTGACGATCAACAAAAATGTAAACAAACTTAATTCCAACTACGACGAATTTCATGTCTGTTACTTGTACTGAGATTAAAGAACTTCATTTCATTTGATGTACTTGTTTCGACGATAACCACGCACAGAATTATTGTGTCTTGACCTACCAGGATAACTTCTCTTCTACTGTCAATTTATTACAATGTGCAGATGCATTTAGTTAGTATAGTTATTAATCTTTTTACCACTTCTGGATAGTTTTCAGTGTGCTAAATTTGCTTTTAGCTTTTCCTTGCCTTTCATTCCTTCAAAAAGCGATATATTTATTAGCAGAACATGCATGGTTGGTTGCAATTGCTGTGCTTTTTCTATGCATGTAGTGTTTTTGAAGGGTTTTCTTGGTCTGTTGTTTTGATGATTGTATAACTGATGTGATATATCAATCCAATTTACTTTAGATTAAATGAGTCAATTTAATGTCACAACCATTTTTCCAAGTGACCTTACCTATGTCCCAAACCGAAGATGATTTCTATATATACCTTATTGGTGGGGCCTTAAATTCTAAGATATGTTATATGTTTTCTTCGAGCTTATTATTCATGTTAGCAGAGCTCACTATTTCGTATGTTTTTGTAGAAGTTGCTGATAATACTATTGTTGGTTGTGTGGTATTATTTTGGTAATGATTGCTGTTGAAATTTAAAATGATCAATAAGAATAGAATTATTTTTATATTATATTTTTTATATATATTAATAATTTAAATTCAAATATATTAGTCGATAATCTAACTGTTGGGTACAAATCAACTATAAGTTGCATGAAACAATTGAATGTTTGACTATTTGTGATAATGTATAATTACATACACTTGTTTATATAGGCTAGCTTGAGCTTGGCAAATGTCTATTTCTTCATAGGTTCGGCTCATTTGACAAGGGTGTGCAATCAGTCGGTTTGGTTTTATATTTGGTTTTAAATTGAACCGGACTGATGAAAAGGGCCCGCCCTGTTAAAAATTCTGAATCTAGTTGTTGGAGTTTAAATTTCTAATTTATTATGCTTTGAACGTGGCACAGAATATCAAGTACGAAGAATGTATTGGTCAATGCAGGAGGTTGTAATCTATATCTTAATTCTGTCTCTTATTTGGTTAATTGACTTATTTGATTGGACAATGTAGACAAAGATAGGTCATGGAACACAGTTGAATCAGCGGAAATGAATTAATAACTTTTTTACGTCGAGCACACTGCAAACTTGGAAAAAAAAAAAAAAAAGATTACGGCATGGAGAGTTAATCACATGCAAGTAACTCTCTCTCTCTCTATCTATATATATATATATATATATATGGATCTCTCTCTCTCTCAAACTACAAATTTTTTGATTTATTGGGCACTTCAAACCACAAATTATAGTTATAACCTCACCCACCGATTGAAACTCCCAACAGAATTTGCTTAATGACTCGTAATGCAATTATATGAGTGGTTATGAGTCTGTTGATGAAAATAGGACGTGTGTAAATTCCTAACACGAACAAATTAGAAATTTAGAAATCAAAATAAAAATGCATTACCCAGAAATAGTTGCTTCACATTCATTACCAAATTTCTGATTTTAATGTTTCCACAGGAATTAAACACGGTTGCTAATCTGTTGCCATCGATCTTTATCACCAATTATGATATCATTAATTACTCTTCTCACTTTCTTTCTTTTCTATACTTGTTAATGTTTATTATTCTAACATCCCTTAATCATGTGTTGGTTCAAATTATACCTCTAAGCACATGTCCTAAGCAAATTTGACTTGTTAACCATCTTATGTGCCTTAACCAAAATATGTTGTGGAAAATAACTAGTTTGACGCGCGGAAATGGACACTAATCAGCGGTAACTAAATACCTATGCTAATTGGTATGAGGTATTTTGGATTTGGAGTGTAAATGAGCTAAGCAGGGTTGTGACCTATTTGAGCCGAGCTGGGTTGTGGCTCAAGAAAAATTCGAAAAAAGTTTGGCTCAAATCGAACTCGAGCCTAATGATGTTCAGTTTGAAAACTCATCAAACCTTATCTAGCTTTTATATATACATATATATAATATTTATTTTAAACTTATTCGAACATCGAGTCTTGAACTTTTGAGTTAAAGTCGAGCTCGAGCCGAGTTCGAGCTTCCATTGAGTCAAGTTTGAGCTTAGTATTTCTAAACTTGTCGAATTTCGAACATAGCAAGTTCGAACTTGCCTCATTTAAACTCAGAATTTAGGATGACTTAGCAGTTTTCTTCATCTCATCACCCTTCCTCTGTAACTCTGACAAAAAGAAAAGGTTTGACTCAACACACATTACCAGGTCAAAGCATATAAATGTAGGGTTAAATTTTGATACTTTCTCTTCTGTTTTTACTAGAAGTCACTGAACTTAACTATGAGTTCACTTTTTTGAAATTTACACAGCAAAATAATACTCCATACTCCCTCCATTCCCCTGTAATAGTAACAAACTATATAATATTTATTTTAAACTTATTCGAACATCGAGTCTTGAACTTTTGAGTTAAAGTCGAGCTCGAGCCGAGTTCGAGCTTCCATTGAGTCAAGTTTGAGCTTAGTATTTCTAAACTTGTCGAATTTCGAACATAGCAAGTTCGAACTTGCCTCATTTAAACTCAGAATTTAGGATGACTTAGCAGTTTTCTTCATCTCATCACCCTTCCTCTGTAACTCTGACAAAAAGAAAAGGTTTGACTCAACACACATTACCAGGTCAAAGCATATAAATGTAGGGTTAAATTTTGATACTTTCTCTTCTGTTTTTACTAGAAGTCACTGAACTTAACTATGAGTTCACTTTTTTGAAATTTACACAGCAAAATAATACTCCATACTCCCTCCATTCCCCTGTAATAGTAACAAACTAACAAATAAAAATTTCACATTATTCCACTTTAAAAGTTTATTTAGGATTTTGAAAGTATATTAATTATTTTTTTTTCAATTTTATCCATATGTGTTAGGTGTTTTGTAGCTAAATTCAAGAGAGCTTTTAATTTTAGAAAGATAATTTAGACATTCTACCATATATTTTTAGAAAATTAATATATTTCAATCTCTTTTTTTAATTTTTATGAAAAGATCAAATGTTACTATCAAAGTGGTACGAAGAGAATATAAAAATTTAAAATGATAGAATTTAATAATTGACTTCATTCATCCCCACTCCTTCCAAGATGCCTTCTTTAACTGGCCAAACTGCAGAAATTAATGGCTTCTAATGAAATAATGGCAGCACATTTAAAATTAACAACACTCCCTCCGTTCTGTTAAACCAATGACTTTTAATGAAATAATAGTATATAAAACGGATGGAGTACTCTCTGTGTCCATGGATACAAATATTAGAGTAGTTACTTTATTTATATGTTGTCTCGAGAACATTTAGGAGTAATTAATAAGGGTTTTTTCTTAAAATTTTATCCTGATTTATATTAAATTAAACCGGTGTGATTCAAATAATGATGTGATATAAAGGTAATTTCGTTAAAATGATAAATATTTTGATATAATTTAGAAAAATTAATTGATTCTCTTTGTTTTTTATAACCAAAAAGTGTAATTCAAGCGTAAAGTGTAAAGGTAGGTTTTTAGCGTTTTCTGATAATCAAACTTGTATCCTCAACTTTACGGTGATTGAGGTTATTTACTACCTCCAATGAATATCTTGTTGATTGAATTAATTACTTCTTTAATCACCACGCAATAATATTAGATGATTTATATTTACGGAAGGAAGAGAGTAAAAGGTAGAAGCATTTTAATTTCTAGCATTTAGTATTGAATCTTTTCTTTCTTATATATGCTATAAATGCACCAATAAAATATACTCTCCTTTGAAGTTAAAAAAAAAACTGATACTTTCTTCAATTTTTTTTTCAATTTTATTTTAATTTTTTGATAATTTAAGATTTATTCGGCCAAATTAACTGTTACGATAGTCGTTAGCTGTTTGAGTAGTTTTTCATGAAATGTTAAAAGTTAAACATTATATGAATTAACTTTTCATAAAACGCTACATTGACCTGTAAAAGCTGGTTCAAATAATATGTTACTGAATTGTTTTTTAAATAGTGTTTGACGTTTTAACCATCAAAACACTAAATGCTACTTAAAAAAACTGTTGCCGAACATAGTCTTAATCATTATTCTTGTTTTTCTAGAGTTAAAGTGGTTCAATCATTTTTT